GAGGCATCAACTGGTTTTTCAGACTCAGAGGAGGCATCAACTGGTTTTTCAGATTCAGAGGAGCCATCAAATGCGCTGTCAGACTCAGAAGAGGCATCAACTGGTTTTTCAGACTCAGAGGAGGCATCAACTGGTTTTTCAGACTCAGAGGAGGCATCAACTGGTTTTTCAGATTCAGCGGAGCCATCAAATGCGCTGTCAGACTCAGAAGAGGCATCACCTGGTTTTTCAGACTCAGAAGAGGCATCAACTGGTTNGTACATTAAATTACTGCACACACACATCTGGGTGTACTAGCAAGAGATGTATACCGTCAGTGAGCAGAACAGCCCAGTTTTCTGCAAACACACACAACGGGAAAAGCAAGTAATGGAATTATTAGAAAAAGAACACACACAAAGTAATAAGTAAAAAAGAAGAGAAAAGATATTCGAATTAAAAGAGAAAACTGGTAAACATATTATTAGTTTATTTCACCCATGGGGGATATACGCAATTATGATTATGTTGGTTTAACCATTATTATTATTTCTCCTCAGATGAGCCCTACCGTTCAATACAGAGTAACGGAGAACAACACAGCCACAATCAGCAGCGGTGCTGCAGTGCGCATCCACACAGGACTGACACTGCTGCTATCAACATTACCCTTGTTCTGTACAGTGGAAGCGATGGTGCTGATCACTGTGTTGGATACAGTTACAGGAGATGGTGATGGTGATTCACTGACAGTGTTCTCGATACTCGGCGGAGTAGTGGAAGTGGTCTCTTCAATTTCCGTTTTCCCACTCACACCTGTGTCGGCGCCAGAAGCACTGTCACCTGTACTCACGTAATTGGTAGTGGTTTGTTGTGAATCTGCGCCAGAAATAGAATTAGGTGCAGTCGTACCTTCATAAGATGGTTGTTGAGTAGTATTATTATCGCCAGGTAAACTGTTACCTGTACTCTCGTTAGTGGATGCTGCCGAGGTTGTGCTGCTATCTTCAGGAGCTCTTAAGGAAGAAGGAGGTTCCGAAGATGTACTTGACGCTTCTGGCGCACGTTCTGCATTCCTACCAGGTTGTGCTTTATCACTCGCAGACTCACTGGGATGTGTCACTACTGGTCCACTCTCAGTCGCTTGACGTCCTGAACCGGTGCCTGTAGACGTGGGGTGTAATGTGTTCGTACGTAGACGATCTTCTTCCGCACTAGGTGCCTCTTGTTCTTCACTCACTTCTACAGAAGGTTTAGGAGGTAGACTCACCACATTTTCAGCATCTTTCGCCTTTGATGAATTAGAAATATTGTGGTTTACCTTATCAAGACTTCCATCTTCTTTCCACTTCCCACAATCTACTCCATTAAGAGTTTTTTTATTTCCATTATGATCACCATTCCCAGAATCACAGCTTCCTATTGCAAGAAAATCATCCCAGTTACCAACACCAACATGTGTAGCCATCACCGCCTTTGGCTGTCCAGCAATAGCAGTAGTAGTAGTAGCAATAGTTGTTGTTCTTGCTGTTCTTGCGGTACGCTGGCGGCAGAGGTCTGCGTACTTCCCACATGCAGACACACGGCTGCCCGCACCGCATGTAAGCCACTCACTCTCAGCAGCGGGGCGTACACGCAGCGCACCGCCGGCCCCGCACGACACCTCCACAGCCCCACGGGATACACCACGGCCACTGGGACTGTCATCATCAACAGCAGCAGCAGCCGTCATGGTATACCC